TTTATTAGATATTATTTGAATTGGTTAGTGTATAGTTTAAATATATTTATTATTCCAAATATTGTTGATAATTTAAAATTTAAAAGGATGTATATGATACATCAAAATCTACAGATTTTTGCCTAAGGTATCTACCGATTTGGCAACAGTCCCAAGGAACATCACTGGCCGCGCAAAACAAATACCATGCCCTTTGCTTTGTGTTTGGTAAGGTGCACACGTGCGCAGCAGTCGAAAAATATCGACTTGAGAAGGAGTCCAGTCGAACAAATGAATTAATTATAAGACATCGCGACGTTATATTGAAATTTACACTGGGTAATTGCAGGTCAGGGGATCTTACTAATTGTAAATAATCTGTATGTTCCGTTTAAAATCTTCCAATACTGTATATTATCGAAATTCTATTTCAATTTCTTTGAATCGAATTCCATTGGTTGTTTAATTGTCGTCAACTGGCAGCTGTTTAAATCTTTCTCTAGGTACCACATTAATTATTTAATATACATATTGTCATTGTACATCAGTTTATCATTAAATATTCAAATGAGGATACGAAAAAAACAATGCGTAACGTCTTAAATACTAAGAAAAATGTGAAATATTGTTAACCCCGCTCAGTTTTTTTCACGATTATCGAACGGTTTACGAATCATACCCGGATATTTTTCACATTTGGTCCCTGTGAAGATAGCCTCAAATTGGTTGTCAATTAAGTTTCACAGAACGATGCACAGAACGAAATATTGCGTTGGCAGTTGCCATGTTCTTATAATGTATATGCAACATGTTATATGCTTCAAATACAAAGAGAGAAAGCTTTTAAAAAGTACATTTTTATATTATTTTATGGATTCTTCAATTTTATAATTTATATAAAATACGAATTAATTAATATTTGTTTCTTTTGATATTAATTGCAGTTAATTATTAGAATTTTTTTTGTAATTGCCCTTTGATAGGTTAGCGGATAGATTTGGCAATAGAGTCAGAACCGTCAAACCACAAGTTCCCAGATTGCAACAAACGTCTTTTTAACTTTATTATTATACTGACATTTTACTATTTACTTTTAAAAACTGTTTTAAAACTATTCTTTTTGGTAATTCTAAAGTACTAATTTTTAATTATCTTATTGCATGTGATTGCATATGTTTCATTTGTAATGTAAATTTCAACACTGCCAAACATCAATATTTCGTTCTGTCAAACTCATTTGAGGCTATCTTCACTGGGACCAAATGTGAAAAATATCCTCATACCCTGTATGAAAGTTATTATGAAGCGATGAGTAGTGCTTTAAAAGTTTCATCTAGCCATAGATAGTATTAGTATAATATGCAGTATTCTATTATCAAAGATATATAAAACTATATTGGGTAAAAATCAGAAGAATCCTTTATATTTTAAATATTTTGTCTTGATGTGCCATATGTTAACAAAAGGTAAATGAGCTTGATGCGTTTATATAAACATCACTTATAATGACTTGCTTTCTTTTTACTTACATAAGTTTTAGAAACTTTTTATTTATATTTCTTCAAAATCAAAGCACAAATTTAATAATCATTCTGTTATATTAGTTTTTTGTGTACTTGGCCATTAGTGCTATTTCAATTATTAATCGGTAACTGTCAGTGTATCTGCTTAAGATATTTGTAGCAATTCGTGATTGAAACTTTTACTATTTTTATTGACTCATGTTGGAACAGCTCCATTGATGGTATTATTTAGATTACGTAGAAATATTCGTAACTACTTCAGTAATTTCGTGTATAACAGAAAAATTGGAATTACTGGAACAATCTGGTTTACAAAAATTTTTGTTTGCCGCTATAGATTAAAGATCAATAATGGGTTCTTCCTTTTACTTTTCACCTAATTCATCCAACGTTTCATTTGTCTTCCGAACGTTTGACAACGACGAGAGAAGATTGTTTGATGATAATATTACTTTGTGTATAGTGACTAATATATTTATATTCGCACAACTAACTTTTAGCACTAAATAAAGGTGAAGTAATACAAGTTAAAGTACATTGCAGGAAATAAAGAAGATTCTAAATTTCGTCATGTTTCTTTCGTGTTTATTACTTTTAGACTTATGGCAATATAGCAATAAATTTGCACAACAATAATTCATGCGCTGTAGAATGCAAATTGACTTTTAGACATTCGCATCCTTTGTGTATATTTAAAAATATAAATGTTTAAATATTATCTGCTCCTATATTTAAGAAAAATTCTGTTTCTGATCCCAAGTACGAAATAAGTTCTAACTCTACTTTAGCAATTTTGGTGACTGGCTTAAATCGATCAAAAGTAATGACAAAATTGAAAGGTTAATTATTAGAGATCGTTTTCAGCGGAATTGTATTGATGATAGTGATTGGATTGTGATACTTTATTTTTGTATTTACTGGACAGGGATAAGAATTTATTTATAAAAAGTTTGTATAGATTGTGCCTTTTATTTATTTGATTATAAAATCTTATGCCTTTAGAAACATTATTCACTATGTATCAATTTTATTAAAATTTATTACATAAATTCTTGTTTCATTTCATCATTCCTAGAATATCGAAAGTCTCCTGGAAAGTACCCAACTTGCTTGCTTAACAAACTGCACAAACACCCTGCTCTTGAAGAAGTGTAGCAAACGTTGAATGGAACAACATACGTGTGATTAAATAAGATTAGGTCCGACAAATCCGAAAAGACAATCGGCTGATAATTCTCCACTCAGTCGTGGGAGCCTACGATTGTAAACATATGACATATGTTTAACATTGTTAAATACATGCGAAATTGACAATTATTAATAAATTAGTTTTTAACTATATTTTTTCAGTTTATGTACAAAATAAATGAAGTATGCAAAAGAGCATATAATTAAAAACAATAATAGTAAAAGTTAATGATATAAAAGCTAAAGTCATCTGCAGTTAGCTTTAAGCCTTATAAAATATCATTCAATGTAAATTATTTAAATTTTTCCTATTTCAATTGCATAAAAATGAAATTATGTGATATTTACTTTTTCATATTAATAGCACGAATTCATCTTTTTCTTTTCTCTAAATTATATGTAAATCTTTGGGAACCTATAACAACTACACTCACTGTTTTTGCTATTATTAGCACAATTAAATACGCAACATGTATTTGCACACATTTTTGATAAAATTTATGCGTAAAAATATTTTGTCCAATATTCCAATTTTGTCATATTTCGCCGCTACGCACGCTGGCATCGTTTCAATGTACCCCTACCATGGTCACGCACGGAGCGAATATTTGTGGTTGTTTCTGGGTCTGTAAGGAGGTGTAAAGTGTTTTGTCGCAATGGCGTTTTAAAAAAAATTAGAAGCAGAGTTAAGCAGTGATAGTGATGACAAAGAATATAGACGCATATGCGTCTATATTCTTTGCTGATGATTGGGAGACATAAACTGCTGATAACTTTTTTGAGTGGCACAATAATAATAGACTTTGACCAAAGAAGATAAAGTTTACTTTATTTTGTAGAGTGGATATAGTTTACTTCTGTTGTAGACACATAAGCTCTATAAAATTAGATCGATCGTAAATTTCCTACGAAAAACCAGTAAAGCAAAGTGAAAATATCTGAGTAGATGAAAGGATTCGTTTATTTAAAAGTCGGCTGGGACTTAAACAATAGGTATATACAATAAAATTTAGAAACGGACAAACTTTATATGTAGAGCATTGGTATTCTAATCCATCCATTTTCTCAATTTAGCATTTCAATAAAACAAATGCATGTGGGAAATGTTGAAAAAAAACGCTCTTTGTCGGAAGGTATGCCGAAAATTGAAAAAACTTTTTTTTGCATAAAGTGGTGGGATAGTTACCGGTCAGCTCCTAAACTCTTGTTGACCCAGATGGTTACCACTTCGACTAAGACTTCCGAGTATGTTCCCTTTCGGTTAAATGTTGAATTACTTACAATATGTCCTTTTAATTTTTTGAATGCAATTCAAAGGTATTTGTACTTTTGAGAGTGGTTACTTGCTCTAAGTTTACCTGGTGGTGGTCTCTTGGGATCGAAAACGTTCTGAAAATTGTAATTCTTTTGGATATTTTTATTATTTTAGTAATTTTACAAATATACCAATTACACTAGAAGTTTTTACTTAAATGTAAGTTTTTTAAACTGTGGAAGACAGCCAACCACCGGGAAGTTAAAGAAATGCCACTTGTGAAGGCCAGTAATATGCGTAATTTCTCAGCTGTAATTGTATTAACGGATTGATGTTTGTCGCATTCACTCCTGTCGTAAGTGACGTAGTGTAGCGTAAGTAGATAATCAAATAAATCTTTCAAAATTGTCTTACATTCGGTCAAGTTTAATTTTCATTTGCCCCCTTATTTTTCCCGCCGAAAAATAGCGCTCTCTAGCGGTCTTCAATTCTTAATTTTATTAATTCTTAATATTAATAATTCTTAATCTTAATATTAATAATAGTATTACGGAGTTCAACCAATAGACATAATAATTCTTATTATGTCTATGGTTCTAGAAACAGCTGTTAAAATAGTATTGTCTGCTTAAAATGTAAGAAGAAAAATACATTATGATATCGTAAATTTCAAACTTGAAAAATGACAACGAATTTTTATGAAATTCTATCATCTCTACATCAGTCAGACGATTTTTACGATTGAAAAGATTGAAAGATTTGTTTACACACCTCTTTATAACTGTGCTATAACTTACATAAGAGCACACGTGCCTCATCTTTTTCTTTATAAAAATAATACATATAAATTTTAAAAAATATTTTTTAATTCGGAACACAGATTATAAGACAAGAAACATTCGGAAACTTTCGTCAGTTACAGAGATATGTAAGACATATCTCTGGTCAGTTACTGTCAGAGATGGTTACTGTCTTTCTTCGGTGGCTAACTTCACATTTCTGCACAGCTGTCTTAGTAAAAAATTGACAATTGAAATCAAAACATCAACTTAATGAAAACAATAAATTTGAAGGGTTATGAATGTATAGCTTAATATTCAATTAATGCAATTAAGAGAATAATGTCAAAAGAAGCACAATATGGTTTATTATACAGTGAATACGAATATTCATCTTATTTACGCGTACCATTCGAAAAGTTCTGTTTGGTTTTAGTAGGAATACCATTTGTAGCATTGATTTTTTGCATATTTTACTCCGTCCTATTTAATTTTGAGAGTGCCACTTACACTCATTGTGAAGTTTACAATATGCTTCCTTCAATATCTGCTGCCATAGGAAGTTTTTCTCCACAGAGGGAAATATGGCAAATGGCCATTGCTGTGCATGCAGTTCCAAGATTTATAATTGCATGGCAGTATTTACATTTACATTATAGCGTGCTACATTCACAAGATATTTGGATTGCACAAGTTGCGTTCTTCCTTAATATTGTGGAGAATATCTCTTTAATAGTGTTGTCTTTCTTTGTGTCCTCACAAAATTATGGTAAGTGGGTACTAATCTAAATATTTTGTCTGGTACCATTTGAGGCTTAAATTTTTTTTAAATATACTTACAATAATATTGTATTGTATAATACTTTACGAGACAATTCATTTTTAAGTTTGTTAAGTTCAAAATTGGTTCTCAAAGATAATGGAATTAATGTCATGATTATGTTTTTAGGCTAAATTAAATATGAATATTGCTTTAATTAAATTTATTCTTTATGTTCTTCATGTATTTACATACATACACAAATATAAAATTGTCAGTTAAACATAATAACTTTTATTTTTGTACAAGGAAATATTGAACATTTCTCACTATTCTTTGTCTTCACCCTTGGTATTAATGATATAATTAATATATACTGTAAGCCTGGCTGTAAAAGCACAGTTTAAAAACTGTGCTTTTAGTAAGAAAATGCCAAACAAAAATTGTTTACTTACTGTGTTTACAAAAGCCTTAGATCTACCAAAATGTTTTATTTGGGTAAATACTGATATACTTAAGTAATATACTTTAGTACTATACAAAATTAAAATGCCCTTATCAGTATTTAGGTCTTTACTACTTGCTCTCTTTATCAATGAAGTGTGACTGCTTTAGGTTGGTTTTCTCACTGTTATATTCATGAAGTTCCTATCAGGTTTTTTTCTGCAATATTATGTGGTAGCTCACAAATTCCTAGTTTTCTTGCTATCTTGTTCATTTTTGTAATACATAACAATAATATCACTCACTGTATTAGAAATCTGTTAACCATTTTGTAAATTAGTATACTCCTATAAATTATAAAATAAATCTATGAAGTTTTGCTGGCATAAATCATAAAAAGGTTATAAATTTTGTTCAATAATATTCTTGAAAGTTAACATATGTTGCTTGATGATGATGATTATCAAAAAGTTCATTTTGTCTGTTATTTCATAATCCACTAGCAAAATGATTAACATAATAGGGATATATGCACCAGAAGACTGCAAACCTGATAGAGATAAAGAAGAATTCTATGATGAGCTACAAACATTAGTGGAAAGAGAAGTGAAGCAAAATGAATTGCTTATATTATTGGGAGATTTCAATGCCAGAATAGGTGACGAAGTAATACCAGGAATAAAACAAAGGTTTAATGAAAGAGTTATCAATGAAAACGGAAAGAGAATAGTGTAATTCTGCACATCAAATGAGCTGAGAATAACCAACACATTTTTTGATCATAAAATTCAACACAAATACATGTTTGAAAATACAAGAGGACATAGATCAATGGTAGATTATGAGGTCACAAACAGAAATATTCACCATAAACAAATAGTGGATGTGAGAAGTTTGATGTCACCCAATGTGGGAAGCTATCACTATTTGGTACTTGGTAAAATTAGATTTAATGAAAGATGGAAAGAGAAGCTTAAACAAACCAATTCAGAGGAAATAATAAAATAGAAAATTTAAGAGATGACTCCATAAAATCATTATATCAAAAAAGGCTAGAACAGAAATACAAATGGAGAATATCAAAAATAAAACCAATGTAGAGACTAGCTGGAGAAAACTTCAGAAAAATATTCTGGATGCTGCCCTAGAAGCCCTTGGAACAAAAATAATAAACAAAAAGTGGTCAACGAAAACACCACTAGAGGTTAAACAAAAATGTCACCAAAAAAAGAAAGCTTCTCTAAAAAATAAGTCAGAAAAAATGAATGGATCATATGAAGAATATAAAAGAATAAGAATTGAAACTCATCAATTGGTAAGAAAAACAAAAACAGATTGCTGGGAAAGATTCACAAAAGAGATGGATTTCTATGGACAACAGTAACAAGTATGGTGCTTCATAAGACAACAAAGAAGCCAAATGAAAGAACTAGTTAAAATAGAACACATACAAGAGGATGCATGGGTGGCCTTCCTGATAGAAATGTTTAAAAAACAAAACGAACTTTACCAGAAACGCCAAATATAATAACTGAGGAAAAGACTGAAATCTCCCAAAATGATGGGAAAGAAGAAATAAAAAATTAAAAAACAGAAAGTTACCAGGAGAAGATCAAATACCAAATGAACTCTTAAAATATGGAGGTGATTACCTTGTGCAACAACTGCAACTTCTTATTAATAAAATAATCACCACGAACAGAATACCAGATGAATGGAGGAGAGCGATCATGTTGATGTTCTTCAAAAAAGGAGATAAGAAAGACCCCAATAATTATCAAGCAATAAATCTTTTAAATACAACACTCAAATTGATAACAAGAATAATAGCGACAAAAATAAACAAACGAATATCTCTGCAAGAGTAACAGCAAGGATTTCAGATAGATAATGCACGGATGCAGTTTTTGTAAAAAGACACATAAAAGAAAAGTCGCTGGAATACAACAAACCAGCATATATGTGTCAGATAGATTTGAAGAAAGTGTTTGATAGAGTGAGAATTCGGGACGCGATATATTTATTATATGAAAAGCGAATATCACTGGATTTAGTAAAAACCATTGAGAATATATATAAAGATAACATTTCTATGTTAAGATGTAAAGAAAAACTATCGCAACCTATCAAATATGAAACTGGCATTAGATAAGGAGATTCGCTGAGCCCATTAATATTTAATCTGATGATGGATGAAATCATAAAGAAAGTTAAAAAAAAGAGGATATAGATTGGGAGAAAATAAAATAAGGATAATATGCTACGCCGACGACGCCATAAATGAAGATGACCTGCAAACGTTAATTAAAGAATTCGAAGATATGGCGCTCATATACAACATGGTGATCTCAACAGAGAAAACTAATACGATAGTGATATCAGCGGAACCGAGACGATGTAAACTAGTCGTAAATAACAAAATAATAGAACAAGTGATGGAAACTGAACTTAGGAATAAAACTGTCAAGCTCCGGAAAAGTGGAAGAAGTACAAAAACAAGTGAACATGGCAAACAGAGCAACAGGATGTCTCAACAACACAATCTGGAGAAACAAATACCTCACAACGAAAACCAGGATATATAAATCAACAATAAGACCGATAATGACGTACACAGCGGAAACAAGAGCAGATACAGCGAAAACACAAAGACTGCTGGAATCAACATAAATGAAACTCTTACGAAAAATAACAACCCAAACTCTAAGAGACAGAGTAAGAAGTGAAGAAATACGAGCGAGATGTGGTATAGAGGAAATAAACGCGTGGACCAAAAGAAGAAAAGTGGAATGGAATCAACACATCGGAAGAATGACAGAAAATAGAATAGTACGAATAGCAAGAGACAAATCGCCAAATGGAAGAAGATAATTGGGACGACCGAGGAAAAGATGGTCAGACAACTTCAATTGAGGCTAAAAACCGAAGTAAAACAGGCATTAAGCCTATTTATAAAGTAGGAAGAAGAAGATTTCATAATCCATTATAATCTCTAACATTGCATTATATTGTTCTGAAGGCTTCCCTCACTGATCTCTATAAAATATCTATGTGTGATTTTTTCAAAACTCATGTTTTACTATGAGCTAATCTATCCTAATCACTAATCAAGCCAATATCTGTGTTTTTTAACGTGTTTCAAACCACTCTTATAGTCATGCCTACTTTTGATACTATTTAGCTACTTGAATGTGGTTCCTTTATTATTGCCTTAGCACTCCCATTAACTGAGCAACATTTAAAGGGTTAATATAACCGAATTTTTCGAATTTTGATATTTTACCAGTTTTTGTTTGACTGGGAAAGTGTTCAAGTACCCCTGTCAATTGAGAAATTGGAGTAATAATTTTTGACTTTAAATACTATTTCCAAAACAGACAATATTATGATTAATGAAGGATGTAACATTGTCCTCACCTTTTCCAACAAAGTAATGGAATGCTGTTACTGATGTAAACTATCGCTCTGTCCCATTTGAAATTTTGTTCAATTTTATACTTTCAGTTCTTGTATGCTGTATATCCTTTTTATATTCTTATTTTTAGCTGTACATAAGAAAGCCTTTGTAATGTTTATTATTACATCAGAAATCTATATGATTCTGAGCTGTATTCTTCAAAGTCGTTTTAAGAAGCAGTTTCGGATAAGTTTGAAATGGAAAAAGCGATTTTTAGTAACCAATGTGATATGTATCTTAGCGGCTACATATTTTTTTATGAGGCACAATTCATTCTGTGAACCTTATGGTAAGTTAAACTTTTATTTTTTTCTTTACATATGTAAATGTTAAAAATAGTTTGTTTTAAGGGTAGTAATATTTTAAGTCTCAGGATTTATTAAGGAAAATTAGAAAATTTATCAAATATGCTGCTTGCAAAAATTCTCTTTTATTCAAATTGCAATTTTTTTCTTACACCGTTTGTGTACATAGACCAGAGACTAATACAGACTCTGAACACTACCTAGTAAACAGAAAAATTAGAGCCAGAATTTTAAATATATAAAAAGTATTAATGATTGTCAAGAATGAAAAAACCAACCTTGGAACACTGGAGAAAACAAACTACTATATAATAAGCTGATGCTGCAAAGGTATAGACATTAAGTAATAAACTGATTGAGATTAAACAAATATATTTACATTAAAAAATCTAATAGAAAAGAGATTAACAAGAAAACTGGAACTTCACATCACTTTTATAAATCTTTACTAGGCATTTGTAGAAGAGAAATTAGTGATCCAGCTATTGAGAAAAACTAATTTGGTCATAGATTTGGACATTTAAATGTGACTGGTTCACAATTCAACAATTTCGCAACTCAGCGCGTGAGAAGTAACATTTACTTCGTTTTCATTGAAGGTTGTTTAGAAACATATTCAGTTAGAATTTTTCCGTGGCTCTATATATACATATGCTATAAGAATGCTATAAACAGAAAACTGTACTCTTGAAAGTCAAAAACTAAACTTTGCAGGCCTTTTTACTGAAGATAGGTATTCAACAGGGTTTCTACCCTGTTGAATACTGGTGTTATAAAATAAACAATATTTAAAATTTATATCAGCAAAGTTTGAAAACACTGGAAAATATTTAGAGATAGAGAGAGAGAGAGAGAGAGAAGAGAGAGAGAGAGAGAGAGAGTTTTTTTATTGACCAACATAATTTAACAAGTATATTATACTTAAACAGTGATCAGAAGAAAAGGAAAACATCGAAACCAGAAATAAGAGAAATGTAAGACAAGAAATTGATATAGTCACTACACTCAAGTATTCCATAAGGCAGAGATAACGCCATCCTCACCTAGGCAAAAACAGCAAAGAAACTACTAGAAACTTACAAGAATAGTGTTTTAAAATGGTGCAGTTGACATAACAGTGGAATAAAGATAAATGAAAGTATATCTTTGCATGATGATCTATCTCCAAAATAAGCAGATGAACCTTGATGTAAGACTATAATAAATAGATCATAATAAAAAGAACATAAGCTACTTGGTCCATTGCCAATTTGTTGTGGCAATCTCTTTCAGCCTAGGTAGCTCAGAGGTGACTATATCGTAATCTGTCTAGGACAATTCCAACTACACTACAGAGTCGATGTTTAAACTGTGGGCCCCGTTTATCTCTTATTCATTTAATAAAACATAACACAGATATATGCAGATGAGTTTCCTATACTCAAAATTTTGTATGATATATTAAGAAGAATGATCTTCCTTGCATCGTCGTCTACACTATCCTTTAACCCCAATTTTGACCTGTCGCTTGCCATATTTTTCACAAGCTCCAATAACTGAGTCTATCAGGAGAGATTCTATTCTCACTTTACTGGTATCAATCCTAGCCCATCTGGCTCATCCTAGCCTATCTAATTATTGTTATAAAGGTTATTAAATCCATGATATCTGCTATTTCTATAGTTATATCACCTTCCATGCAGCAGATTTGCATTTCTTTTGTTAGTACTGGTAGGATAAATCTGATAAACGAACACCAGTTCACGAATAGTATTCTTCTTTTTATTTTCTCCAAAGTGGAATTAACACTGGTGTTATAAAATGTATATAAATTTGCTTATAACATCAAAATTTTAATTTTCCACATTAAAATTTTGAGTAGTGTCTCTACCTGTAGCTATGCTGTTCCGAATCGATGTTATTAGTTTGGTCTTTCTATTTTGTGGAGGAGAGTGGTGAAAATATGGTAGGAACGGGCTGAGGTTATCTCCCTGTCTGATTCACCCTGGGGTTGATATGTTACCCATAGTGGTGTCATATATTTTTATTTGCGTCATATTTTTGTTGTTCATTTGTTTTATGATTTCGAAAATGTTTGTTGGAATTCTTTGCTGCCTTAGATTCTATAATATTCTGTTAAGTTTGACTCTATCAAATGCTTCTGTTGGATCCAAGAAACATACATATACTGGCTTGTTTATTCTATCGACTTTTCTTTCACCTGTTTCATAATGAATATTGCATCCGTCGTCGACCTTTCTGAAACCTTGTTGTTCTTTTCTGATCTGTATTTTGTGATTCCAATTTGTCCTAGGTAGATAGATAGTTAGATAGATTTAGGGCTACCTTTCAGATTTATTGTGGTCCTCTAGCCCTAGATAACATTCTCTAGCCTGACCCTTTTTAAAAAGTCTAATAGCTTCGAGACTGTACCTTCCATGTAGCTATTTGCCAGTGTATTTTCTTTTCCTAATGCAAAGAACCGCACATTTGCCAGACTGTCACACTGACATATAATGTGCTTTTTCTGTTTCTTCTTCGAGGTGACAGAATCTGCACAGGTCATCATCTGATAATCCCATCAGATTCAAGTGCCTATTACGCTTACAGTGCCCTGTTATAAGACCTACTATGGCTTTGACTACTTGTCCTTGCTTATTAGGTCTGCTGTAAATTTTGGCAAATGTTCTGTAATGAACTGTTTCGCCTGTCTTTGTCCTGGTGAATTTCTCCACCATTCCAGAGATTTGTGAGCTACCCACTTTCTTCTAACCATTCTTGTTACTTTCTTTGCAACGCCGCAGAAAGTTTCCGGTCCAATGAATGGCATTGATGAGCCTTGTTTGGTCATTTCATCTGCTTTTTGATTGCCCTTATGACCCTTGTGCCCCGATACCCAGGGTACCGTAACCTTGCTACGGTTTCCCAGTTTATTTAGGGCACACACACAATCCCATATTAGCTTAAAATTGACCTTTACAGAATTGAGTGCCTTAAGCGCTGCCTAACTATCTGTGAAGATTTCAACTGAACGAAACGTTTTTTCCTGCCTTTTTATTTCTTCCACGCAGTGATGGATTGCCGTTATTACCGCCTGGAAAACTGTCACATCCTTAGATAGACTTACCAGGAAATTTATCCCTTGTTTTCTCCCTACTATGACGGCTCCCACACCCTCCGATGTTTTTGAACCATCCGTGTACCAGGTAGCAGCAGCTTGTATGGGTACACCTTTATTCCAGTCTTCCCTGCCTGTTATCGTAATTGTGAACTTATTGTTAAAGCTATATCTCGTAGCTGTTGCATTGATAGGTTGCTTTATCACAATATCGACTTTTAGCACCTCGATTAGCCTTCTGTTGCCAGTAACATGCATTTGGCTTACATGTCGCTGACTATTTATTAATCTGTGCATCACTGATCTGGCTTCGCCCTGTATAAAGATATGAAGTGGTGGTAAATTCAGTAGGACTTCCAACGCTGCAGTAGGAGTTGTTTTTATGGCCCCCGTAATAAACAAGCAAGCTAGCTTTTGTGTATTACCTAGCAGCTTTATTTCTCCCACTTGCTGCGTCTTTGTCCATTACGTCGCCGTGCCATAGGTTATTAATATCCCTTGTGTATAACCATAGAGTCATTTTGTTGTTAAGTCCCCAATTCTTACTGCACATTCTTCTAGATCTGCCCAGGGAGATAGTAGCTTTCTATGTGGTTTTTAGAATGTGGTTTTCAGAATTGTCCTAGGTAGATCCCGAGTAGGTTTGTGAATAGCTTCATTGTATTAAGAGTATTATTCTTATGTAGTTGTCCGGGTATGTTTTTGACTTTTGTATTAAATCAGTTCCTGGCGATCGTCTGTTCTTTAAAGTGTTTATTCTCGCTATTACTTTTGTTTCTTGGGCCATATATCTGCATTTTACATAAAACCAAAGCATTTTACGTATAACATAATATATATCATTACGTTTTAATTATTTATATTATCGTATTACATATTATTAACTTTAATTATTTTCTATTTTTAGTGTACACGTTATTCGCATTATGTGAGTATATCGTAGTACTTTCCAACATGGCGTTCCATTTGACAGCTTACTTCGATTTTAAAAATAAAGACATTGTGATCTATAAACATGGCCTTGCTCTGACAGAAAGATAATATTTAGTCATTTAGCTAGTCATTTAAAATTGTTTATTTAATTTATTTTTTTGGTTATGGGGTGAATGTCGAGAAAGTTTTGAAAACAGTATTATCTTAGTATTGAAACTATACAAAATAGCTTCTCAAAAAAATGTGGTGGTTATTTTGTGTAATATTTTCTGATAGGTGCAAGAGTATTTAATATTGTGGTGATTGACCCTACCACTGCCATTGGTTGATTAACATAGTAACAAATATACAGTGAACATAGGTTTTGGTTTTGGTGGGAATTAAATAAATACTTACTAGATGTTTTGAACGAAACTCATTTCACACTGAATTGAATTAAATTCAAGTTTTGACTTTTATAATTGTACCGAAGAATAATTTTTTAAGACAAAACTTTCTCAATGACAAACAAAGAATTTATGGAATGCCTTATTTTGGTAAGAAATTATTAGCAAGACATAACAAGAAAATTCCACTCAGTGTTCGCTTAGTCCGATGCTGTATTTTAAAAGATGCATGCACCATAACGTGCATGGTGCAGGTGATGCGTCATATCCTTTCAAAATGAGTGCTATGTACTAGACTTACTGCATACATACCTACATGTAATATAAGGATTTTCTTAATATTGTTCTGAAGCTATTTTCTTGTGGCATTTTAAATTAATTACTATTTAACTGGGAATAAGCCACAATTAAAGAAAAAAATACGTTTATTGACGTTTCAATTTCCACTTCGGAAATCGTTCTCAAAATGCAAACACTGTTTGTATTTTGATGATAGGTTAATCTTGAATTAACCATTTTCACGAACAGTTTACATGAGAACAAGTTAGGGAGATTGGCTTGTACGATTTTGGCAGGCTTGAGGGTTGCCATATTTTGTCGTAAGATTCAGCAGTGTTACGGGGCTGGAATGAGATAAGTTTCGGATAAATGTAAATGAAATATTATCTGGCCCAGCAGCAGAGTCTTTACTAGAAGCTAGAACTACAGATAATTTTTGTTTTGTAAAAGGCAGTTTGATATCGGCGACATCATGCCTACTAATTTCAGAAACATGAGAAATTGATGAATTCTGCTCATTTAGACTTTGATTCTGCTCGAGCTCAGACCTGATTTTCCGTGCGAAACTTTCAGCTATAATTTGCGAAATTGTTTGGTTGTCTGCAATTACTTTCCCTTCCTGTGTTACTGCTGAAATTTTTGGGGGAGTTTTATGTCCTTTCATTTGTCTTATCACAAGTATCACTAGTAAGAGTAGAAGCAAACATACTTTTTTTACATATTACATACAAACATATTTCTGTTTCTTCGATAACTGGTAATAGCCGTTTTACATTGTCGTACAATTAATTCGCATTCTGCATTCCACCATGGTACTACCCTTTTAGAGGGGCATATTGTTATTTTTTGAACATGACTTTCTGTGGCCATGATAATCCATTTATTAAAAAGGAGTTATTGTTGAAGAATGAAAGATGATTTTCGTCACTAATCTTAGAATTATTCCAGTCTCTTTAGCGACATTCCATTTAGTTATGGTGCAATATTTTTATCGCTATTTGTTATGACTATTGGGAAGTGAATACTATCCTACAGACTAACTGTAGAGTATGCCATGACATCAGCTAACTTGGGATCACATATGCTTAAATCAATAGAGAAGACATTTCTTGATGCAACAATAAACTATGTACTGGCTCCAATATTTATCAAACAAGCATTGCAACTGAATACACTTTTTCTATGATTTTTTCTCTACCGATTGTTTTCTTAGAGCCCCACATACTGTTATGCGGGGTTCTACATAGCCCCATTTAGTATATGGGCGATAACATAAGTCTTTAACGTGTATAAACAGATTAGGTAGTTGGCAGATTATTTCATCAAAGTCAGGTTATAATTAGGTGGAATATAAGTATGTACTGCTTATGGTTATTTTGTCGGGACACCAGTTACTACTATATCCGTCAAATTAGTTGGTGATTAGGATATGACGTAAAGAAAATAAATCTTTGGACTCAAAATAGATGTTTTTCCACTTGCCCTTGTAAACGTTTTCCGAAGAATATTGCAACCTTGCAACATTCAACATGTTTAATTAAGCAAAAACTACATTAAAATTGGATGATGTTAAAAGTGTTATTCGATCAGCATTCGCTCACATCCGAGTATCATTACCTATATTTTGACATAAAATTTTTATGAATTTGGAATAATTAATTTACTACTGACATAATATCGTTGAAATATGTATAGCTAGGTGTGGTTCTGAAACCACATTTTGGTTATTTTGGCTTGAAACCCAATTTGGAATTATTTCAGGTTTTGAAATAATTCCAAATAATTTACTAGTTAAATAGCTGGGCCTGCAGAACAAAAAGATTGTTTATACAAATATAGTAGTATTCTGATATGGCTTATTATATTAATCAACCATCAATAAAAATATTCCAGGGGCAATCAAATATCTTGCACTTATCAGAAATTTGGATGATCCATCACTATTTTGTAAGAGTCTTCCGATTGGACTTCTTTGTTAGTAATTTTTTTATATAATTTTATATGTGGTTTAGAATACTATTTCGTAACTATCTAAATTTTAGGTTTATAATTGCCCAAATGTAATATAATTGCTGATCAATTCAGTACTTTATAGTAGGTACAATTGCGATGGTCAATCTTAAAATAGTGAAAAGGGTTGACATTAGACAAGAAAAATATTTACTTAAGTTATAAGCTACATCGTATAAATGTAGGAGCTCTATTTGAACTGTATCTACTTCCTAGTTGTTAAAGTAGCCTCTGACAACCCATGTCGGGTAGCTCTATTAGATCCCAGACTCAGTACAACACAGTGTTCCATCTCCAGCGCAAATCGAGAGTAGTGGTAGTTGTCGCTGGGATTGCGTGCTTACAGAGAGATAGCCTCGTTACAAACCAAGCTGTACTTAAGACTCTAAAGTCTACAAGTCTACTATTTTTTGAAGTTTTATCGACAGCGTGACCGTAATTAACTCGACGGAAACTCTCTACAATGAGATGTATAATGCGATATCAATAGTGCCAGTACTCGGGGAATCTGTGAAAATCATTCGCTTGTCATCTGCCTCTGCGCATTACGCGTGAGATTTAGTTGAAGCGTTATTATTGCGGTAAAAGAGATTACCTTTTTGCTGGGCTCAGTACATTCACCAATATTAATCTCTTGAGCCTGTGTTAGATAGAATTCAAATATGGATCTATCATGATCTGAATTTCATTACACACAAAGATCTTGCGTGAGACTAGAACTTGTAACCTTAAAACGAACTTGGTAATTCAATTTTAATTATGCCAAGAGGTCTAAAGTTTATACTGCTAGGGTAAATGAAAATTAATAAAACGTTTTTATATTGTCACGTTTTACATTCAATGTTATGCACCAAGAACCGGATAACTCGAACGGTAGAGTGTTTGACAATCTCGCAGGTACCTGTCGCGGCGAAAACATCTAGGTATTTTTAAAATAATCTTGAATCGACCTGAAGCTCTAAAGGTCTCAGTCGACTTACTTATCCTGAATAAAATGAGTATCGAGGGTAATAATAGGTGGTTGAAGGTTGTGTTGATCCTGTTACCTCCTTGTATAATAAAGGCACAAACTACCCTAGGCTAAAATCCTGGTGGTATAAACGCATGGTATTAATACTTTCTAAATTTAAGCCATACAACTCCACTCTCTCTAATTCCAGTTACCTTCGGTGAATAAAAAGATTGAGAAGCGGTCTTATGGAGATTTTCACTGAGACTCAGGTATTTGCCGTATGCCGTTATCTATAAGGTTCTTTGGATAACACCAGTATTGGTTAAGATAATTGGTACGGTTTGGGTACTTTTAGACACTTCTGTCACTATCTGAATGATTTCAGGAATTTACAGACTCTTATCAGCCGTAACAGATAGTAAGTCAATACAAAGAAAAAGCCAAGTGGCAGCAAAAATAAAAATATAACTAACAACTTAACTGGAGAATAGTATTTGGAGAAGGCGGTATAATTTCGAATTGTACGAGAAGTATTAAGAAATAGTTAACGGCGTAGCAAACTGGCAGCGGTTGGTTTCGCAGCCGGCGAAAAAATGAACTTATTGCATCTCAGGAAATCAACAGCAGAATAGAGCAAGTCAGAATATCATTTAAGAAGATACAAAATGTAGTGACCAATAGAGTATTAAGAACTCCCTTAAGAATATGTTTTTTACACTGTTATGTCTTCACTGCTAAAGCAATGTGTAAAAGAATGAGGTGTTCGAGATGTGAACTTGCTGTTAATTGTAAAGAATATCATGGACCGAAAAAGTGACGAAAAGAGCAGTTTTACAACCTCTCAACAAAGAAATAAAGGTTCTGAATACCATAAAAAGAAGAATATTGTAGTACTTTGCCCACGTGATGAGAAATCCGAAATATGAAGTACTACATGTAGTTATTCAAATAAAAATAGAAGAAAAACGTAGTCCTGAACGAAACATGCAGTTTTTCCTAGTCGTGGACCCTGTTTATCTGCTATTTTCTCTTGCATTATATTTGGTAGCAATCTATATTTAAGGCCTCTCATTACATGTCCGAATTACTCCAATGATCCTTGGAGGGTCTTGAGTTATGGAGGACGATGCGCTTAAAAAGAAGAAGAAGGGTACTTTCCATTCTCCTTTGTGTCCTTATTCCTAGCTAAAGATCTCTGTACTTGACGATATTCTCGTTGTATTTAACACGCAGATTATTATTATATCAACACACTGATAAGTATTGTTTGTTTAGTTAGTCAATTATGAGATCTGGTCTATTATGTGCCACTGGTTGGTCTGTAAGCACGGTACGGTCCCGGTGTTGCTTGTAGTTGTCATTACTCAGCACACCATCAGCGACATATTAATGATTTGGAAGATGGTTAGTTTGAAGTCAATCTCGTGATGGAGTATCTTTCCTACTGAGTCATACCGTTCTTTATATTCAATTGCAGCAAATGCCTGACAGCCATCGATAAGTTGTTGGGTAGTTTTTTGATTATTAATATTATTGTCACGCACAAATTTCTTTCGTATACTTTTTCTTTGTTTATTCTTAGCGACTAATATAATGATGTCAGCCCTTGTGATTTTCTAAAGCAAATTATACTCATTCTTCAAGATTTTTTAACGAATAGAAAAATAGAGAATAAAAATTAAATCTTTATTTAGATAGTTGTGGAATCAGTAGATAAATTCGAAGACTCCGGTACTGTTTTCAGTCATTTAACAAAGCGTACTTCTTTTTGAGAGAACAAGTGGTATTTAAAAAAATGTGATTTTTATATGAAATATTTTTATTGATATGACCAGTAGATGTTAAGAAAAAAAAAGATGTCCTACATAAATACTAGAACTGACTTTTAGTCTTTTATATAATCACTTTATCAAAGGATCTTGTATAGACAATACAACATTCTGAATTACTTTAAACGAACTATGAAGCCGCAAGTAGGGGTTCCAAATCATTGCTGCTATTTTTAAAATCTGTATATAGAAAATATTATTGGTTGTTCAGTTCGTTTTAATAAATTCATGAATATGTATATTTCTTTTAGTTTATATTACAATTTATTGCTAAAAAACCAAAATTTGTAACTTTAAGTCTATATTTAACTATATTGGTTGAAAAGGAAAATGGACTGTAATGATATATTATATCATTTCTTTGTGATATTATTTACGTCTGTGACTGCAGCAGATCTTATATTTTTACTTGCTTTGGTATAGCTTATGTTGGAACCCATTGTTCAAACCGTTCCATTCGACTATAAACTTCTGCATTCGTTACCCAAATGGTTGGTTACTTGAAAACCACTATAGCACAAGGGAGGAGCCATAAAAACATTAATGGATCTTACAATCTGAGTATGTGAATTTGCAATTTGAGGGAAGGATTAAACCATCATTGATACATAACGGATATACTCCAAGTGATATACGATATATACGTCAAGAAAGAGATAACCGCATTATCGACAAACAACGAAGACGACACAAGAAAGTCTGGGATTGGTCAAAATTAATAAAGAACCGTTGTCCACGCCAGATATTAGCAAAGTCTTCTAAATTAAATTCATAATAAAAATGTTATTACAAATCTGGAAGAAAATATAAAAGCTTATTAGTAAGAAAAAACAAACAACTGCAGACTCAAAACTCTATTGAATGTCAAGTACAAACTATTAAGCAAAATTTTAATACATATGACAGCTGGAGTCATGTTAGTGGCACGTGCTAGTCGCAATGAAGTTGAAGAAGTGGCTATTTCTCAAGTAGTTGAGTTAAAATGTCTTCGCAAGAAGGTAAACTATTGTTGTCTTATTAGAAGAAGATGACGCAGAAGAATAATAAATATTGTCCGGAAATGGCAGTTTGTATATAAATACTCGAAAATTGGATATGGATAAACAACAATATCTTATGTATACATAATCACAATAACTACCACTCTGTGAACCTTTTTCTTCTTCTTCTTCTTTATGTGCCCCTTCCTTTAAGGACATTAATTCTTAACAACTGAAGAGTTCTATTGTTTTTCCACTCCACCGCATTAAATTTTTCAACCAGGACGTGCGTCGTCTCCCGGTCCACTTTTTCCCTCCACTTTCCCTTGTATAAGCAATCTGAAGTTGAGAACCAGCAACTAGAAATAAATACCAACTCAATTTTTTAGTGACATGCCAGTTAAACCATAGTTACCTATAACAAGAACGTCTATGGTTGAACCACCGATAGATCGGTTAGTTGTGGCAAATGGTACTGACATGTGCTAGTTGCATAAATGTGTAACGCGCAATTGACAACACAGGCACAGAATAATAAACAATCAGAATGCCCACTCTGCTTAAAAAAATAAGTATGTGCCTCTCGTTCGTGCAGACGGAATGAGCCATATTTTAGTCGGAACCAGTGCTGTTCAGTGACATTTTATCTGGTGTGCATAGACAAATTAACCCGGTTTAATTTATTTACGGCAACCATAGATATAATATGTACTATTGTATTCGTACGTTTAGTTGAAGAATAGATTAAATTATTTCAAATGTACTAAATTATTAATCTCTAAAAATTTAAATTACAGTTCTGTCGTAGCTTGTCACAAATTTCTCAATCCGAGTCTGTTTCCGTCTCAAACATGGCGTTCGCGTGCTGACAAACTTCAAAGGCGGCATCTGAGAGAGGGCATTCTGATTGTTTTATTATTCTGTGACACAGTATGTAATGTGCCATAATATTTCATATGGCATGTATTCACTTCGATAAAACTTGAAAACGCCTTCGATAGCATAAAGCTCATAATAAAGATCCAATTAACTTATTACAATAATGAAAATGAATCCAAATAGCTCTGATAATTGCAAACAAATGACAAGATATAGCTAGATAATAACAATGTTTTGATATCAAATAATAGAGAAAATGAGATTTCTAAGTATTAAGCAAGTCTTAATTGGGGTAAACTTATGTCATGACAAGTTGAAAGTAAATCGCGCCATTAGTAGTATTTCTATTTAATTTCAAAAAAGTAAGACTTTGGGTTTTGATTTAGTTTTATGCACGTTCTCGTGTGGTTGTATAGAATACTAAAAGGACAATTCACGTATTGTAAATATGCATTTACGTCACAGATTCTGCAAAAATATGTATATTCAATACCTATTTATATAAAATCTAGATAGGAGATGATATTAAAAACTGTTTATATAATATATATTTTTAAAGTTCCTGTGGTGAACGAGTTGTTTCCATCCGTTGTCCTGTTAGATAACGGATGAATATAATATATTTTAGTTGGAAATATTTAAAGCTTGTACATATCATCTGCCAGTTGTTTATGAAATTCAAATATAAAATTCTACAATTCCGTCAATTAATTCATTTTAAAATAGTTATTTATATAACTAATGCAAAATCAGCATATTTCTTGCACTAGATATAAAAATTGAACAACGATTATAGCTAGTACTAGTTCAATGTATCATGTGCAATAATACTCGCTATTTTGCATCGCACTTTTGTGTAATTCGGTTGTGATGAATCTTTACGACATATTTGTGAACGTGAAATACTTTTGTATTTCAAAATGAGTTACTTAGGTCGTTACAGAAATTGCTAAAGCTTTAGTAAGTAAATTAATTGCTCAAGTAAATCAAAAGGAGTGTAAGAAACGTCTAAATATTACAGAATGAAGAAAATGTGTTATTAAATATGTTAATAAATTGATTTTATTCGTACCAACGTCTATATGAATATAGACGTAGATACATGCGTCTATATTCGTTGGTCGTTGGTCATAATGTTAACATCAAAGAAATCGAACTAAGTAATAGAAGTCGTATTGTCAAATTTTTTTGAAGCTTTTTTGCCGCCACCTACATTGAGGATGGATGGTTTATTTTGTTAATTTATTAATCTGTTTGTTTATGTGTCTAAAGATATAAGGTTTATTTATTTATTTGTTTGTTCATTTGTTTTCGTTTGTTTCTTCTACAAAAAATTGCGATAAAATACGAATATTTTAATAATGGCACACGATTTTCTGACTGCGATGACCTGGCAACGCTACTTTCCTCAATGCAAATGGCGTCCTCGGCTTCACTTAATCTGTACCTTTTAAATAGTAGTTGTTTATCTATTGGTTTAATATCTCTGGTTAACATAACGATATAATATTATATCGTTGGGTTAACATAAATGGCAAGTGCCAAAAATATGAATTCTTTGTTTAGAAGTTCAAAAGTACTATCATTTCTTTTTTTTTTCGCTTACTCCATTGAAATGTTACATTTTTCATGGCTTAGCGTGCATTTCTTAGAGGATGCAATTTTATTCTTTTGATGTATTGAGAGGGTAAGTATAAGATAAAATTTAACTTTGTGGGGTCGCCACCCTTATCCCACAGCCGTCATCTACAGTTTTTCCACTGTATCTCGTAAACTAGCAACCCTACAACCCTACAAAAACATTTATTCGACATTATTTGTAGCAAATTAAATTGTTTACAACTTTATTTCTATTACTTTGAATCGTAAAATGGAAAATAAAAAAGTTTTAAAACAAAACTAACTAAAATTTTTGAACAAATTTTCTTTTGTGCCTTAGCAAAACCTTAAACCTTTTTTTTCTTTTTTTTTTTTCGTCTTTATAGAGGGGGAATCTTCAAAAGACGTCTCAGTCCAGGACGCCGCCTGACTGACCTTAGTGCAGGATTCGTTCTTCGTACTCCCGGCGATAGTTCCCGAGGTACTTTAAAATGCCTCTCGTCGCCGAGTCTACGCCGAACGCCTACCTGCTAAACCAGACCCTCCTCTGTCATCCAGCGATCCGGAAGCGGAATGGCCGCAGTAAGGCCGACATCACTTCCGAAGCACTACCTTTATTCATTCATTCTCCATTCATACACATCCACACTCCTAGTTCGGCATCATTCTCAGAAGGGCATTCCTCCTTCCCCACAGTCAAACCCACGCATTCCAACTCAAAAAGTGTGACCCACTCTTCTAACTTCACCTTTCCGCATCATTCACTCTACCTTTGCAGTTGGTCCAGCTGTCTTTCTTCCTCTTCCTTTTTTTTTTTGATCACTGCACGGATATAACTGTGTATGTTAATCCAACCTAATTTATTTATCAATCATTCTTTCAACCATTTCTCTCACTGTAACAAAATTCACACCTGTATCTCTTTCCATTCTGTTCCTTTCCACTATCCATCTGCTGCAATCTAACATCGTATGTGTCACAGTGTCCGAGTATCCACAATATAGGCATTCATCTGTATCAGCCTTACCGATCCTATAAAGGTAGGCCCTAAAACACCCGTGTCCTGTGAGCACCTGCGTCAGGAAATAATCCAATCGCCTGTGGCCACAGTCCACCCAAACTCTTATGTTAGGGATCAGCATTTTCGTCCACTGTGCCACATCCTCCGTATTGTTCCATTCTTCTTGCCATCTTTCAACTGACCTTTCCCTTACCTGTCTTCTCTCAGCCACAGTAAGGTTTGGGCCTCTTCTCTCATAAAGCGCTTTTCTTTCCACCGCCAAAACATGCAACGGAACACATCCAGTGATGTGAATGTTAGCAGAACCCTGGTCTTCCTGGCCTTTCGGCATACGACCGTTAGCTAGCCACTAAACCCCTACGAGTCGGACACCATTTGAATATGGCGCGTTGCACGAAGCATCGCGGGGCTCCACCCTCCCCGTAGTACCTGTGTTGTGCTACGCACATCCCTCCGTTGTTCCCCCGGGGCGGAAAGGTGAACGCAGGTCGAGGCTCGACCTCACACGTTTGACAGGTAGCCGCCGAGGAGCTCTCCTCTTCCACTCTCAAGTCTCCCAAGGTCCCCATAAGAATGAGAGGATTCTATCTCCTGTTGCCGACCAGAATGTAGCTTCGACTATTTTTTAAATAATTTTAAACTGTTTGTCCTTGTTTAGTGTAGTGGTATGTTCAATTATATGTTTAATTTTATGTTTATGACATTCTGCGATTGTTGGATAGCCCAAAATTGACGAAATGCCCCTGAAGATGCTCTAGG